ATACGCGTTAAAAATGCTTCAAATTTGTACCGATGTTATAACAAAGCTAAGGGTCTATGGTATTTTAATTGTTTTATTACAATTGTTTACGGAAAGTACCGAGTGTTCTCGATGGCCGGAAATAATTGTCTGTTCTTAGAAAGTAGAATCGTTAGACCCAACTAGTTTGCGTTTTTGTTGTGTCTTTAAACTTTGAAATTGATGACTGAAAAACAGTGTGACAATGGCGAATAAATGCAGTTATAAAGATAAACTTCTTGTTTTTGTTTAGGTTTTCGGCGAATAAAAAAATTAACTCGATTAAATTTTGCATCAAAGGCGACATCATCCCCCCCCCCCCCATTTTACCATGTTTTGTTTCGACCATCAGGTCATAAATTCAACAAAACAGAAAGTAATTTTCTAAATTAAATAATGTTTACCTATAAATATACACATACATACAGAAGCAGTTTGCAGCGATTGGTTTCCCCATACATCATCTAACTTATGTGGGTAACAGGTTTCAGAAGTCTGCTGCGGTGTCTTACAAACGGATGCAACAGCCCTGCGTCGTCAAATTACGTGATCGTGTGATTGGTCGGTTTAAAGCGTAAGCTTGCTGGAGCTAAACAATTGTTGGTGCTAAGCATCGTTAACCATTATCTGCAGACGACTTGGAAAGCACGTTACTCTTTGCTTCACAGAAATGGTGCTAGTCAATGCAAGGCGTATGGAGCCGTCTTTATTATTCTTCTTTGGTTAAAATAATTTTTTTAGTGTTATTTTTTGTATATATATATTTCTTTTGGTTTCCTTCAAAGGAACAACTTTTCACGTGGACGATGACAATAAGATTCACGATGTATGACCATTTACTTATATTCTTATAGAATTAGGAAAGCGTTTTCCAAGATTGTTAATTTCTATCAGCACAGTGGGTTTTGTTTTGTGTTGTGTACATAAATCCTTGTCTAATTATGGATTGGCCTTGGCTCCACTATTCAGATGAAAATATAACTAATTAAGAATATGAAATATATCCATATAAGATAACTGGTAACATTCATTAAATAATTTTATTTACATTAGACCTTACGTGGATAGTGGATAAGGAGAATACTACTTTCGGGAGTTTTGTTCACGTGACAGCCCAGGCTTGCCAGGAAAATCCCACTGGACTTCAGTTTGAAGACGTGTTCTGATCTCGCTTTGGTATTCTATATATACAACAGGAAAAATCTTAAACGCGGTGTTTAAAATCTATTCACTTAAAAATACACTAATTTAAGAATACCAAGGAAATTACACATTGTAGTAATGCCGGGCATTACATTTTGTAAATTGTAAAATAAAAAGTTCGTTCTTTTCTTCCGTTAAATTAATTTTATTTATTATTTTTACATGATATCATTGTGTATTACGGTAAAGGTAACGTATATTGAACGTACGTAAAACAGATCCACTACACCACAACCCAACAACTTCAAAATCTCACAATATTTCTACTTTTTCGTGGAAATGCTGCTAAGTAGTTGGTCATTTTAAACACAAATACCTCTCGATATGTTGGTTTTATTAGTTGTATGGGATTTTAAGTGAAACAGCACCATGTATGCAAATGAGTGTACACCCACACAGACGACTTCATGAAACACGTATAAGAAATACACCAAAGGGAGGATGGTGGGCGTGTCTTTGCCTCAAAAGAGGACTTCAAACACATGTCCAAATTTGACAACATATCTAAATATAGAAATTGGATTTCTCTGGATATTTCCGGTATAAGCTTGATCAGGAACAGCGGATTTTAAAAGTAATAAACAATCTCGACAAAAACGTTACTTTTCAGTTTCCAGCTTGATTGAATCTTCGAGAAATACAGATTTTTTGTCAATTTCCGTTTAAGTCTTTATCATTGCATCGCAGTGTATTTTTTTTTTTTTTTTTTGTTTTTTTTTTTAATTTTTCATTAAATGAAATGTGACCAGACAGTAAGTCTTGTTTAATCCTAGGATGAGTTTTGTAACGATTATACATAGTTCATAGAAAATATAAAACACATACTAGAGACGTCATCTTACACAGCAATACAGATTATCTGTCTAGTAACGCTAAAGAATTCTTCAATAAAAGATTAGATTTGTGTAGTGTATATTATCTGGGAGATTTCTTAGTGTAGCAAGTGGCGTGCAAGGTTTGATAATATGGAGAAAAAAAACACTCAAATACTAGCGACATGATTGTCACCTGTGTTTTTCCTTGTAAATTTTACATTTCACACAAATACGAAAAGAGTGTGATCAATATTTGGAGGGAATTACATATGTAATAAGATTTCAACATTTTTACTGAATCCAGTGTAACGTAACGCCAGCACAGTAGTAAGCTCTCGGCTCTCGACTCCAAAGCTTCCTGGATAGAATACCCCATTGCCGTCGTTTGAAAATGGACATCAGATTACATGTGATATTGAATTATTCTCGATACTAGCGTAATTATTAATTAATATAGAAAACGAACCAATCTTTAAAATGTACCTGCCAAAGATCAATTTCATAAGATTCGGTGATGGATTTTCCTATGGAAAAAATGCAGGTATTTGGCATCCCGAAAATGAATAATTCAAACGGATTTCAATATCCATAAACAGATTTACACAGCTGTAGAGTGACTTCACATATAAACTTCCGTTTATTGACCCTGAAAACGGCGTGGGCACTTGATTTCGCGGCTAGATATACCTCAGTAGATATACTTATAATGTGACGCTACTCAAAATGGAACGCTATTGAAATATTTGACGGTGAATTTTTATTTTGCATTACAAGTGAATATCAAATATTATAAACAAGAAACCATTATATTTTTTTCAGCCCATGTCTTCTGTGTTGCTTATCATCTCTAGTGTAGTGTACCTTGGATGAAAAATTTTATCCATGGTTAAAATAAAATGTTAGATGCAACCTTCAAAGTACCGAGGACGCCATTTTATTTAGCTTCTATCTGGATTTAAATGTTAAAACCTGTCTCGGTCAACTTATCCGGATTTTTGCACATACTAATAACAAATACAACTAAATTCCGGAATGGAGTTATTTCCCCTTATGCTGTAAAATATGATACTATTTGATATCTCACAGACCAGTATAACATTTGCATAACACTACTTAATTTTTTTTTTAATCCGGGAAATTATGCTATGCGACAACATATATATTCTATAATGTTTCTAAACAACTCAAAGTATTATTAAAAATTAATATTTTTGATAGCTAGATGACTGAGATTAACGAGACAGTAATTGAACTTTTATGAAACAAAGAAAAAAATATTCAACATTACAGGTATGCCTGTTATTTCTATAAATAAACATAATCCATTTTCGGTATCCTTACCTGTTGAACCTGGCATGTCTTGCTACGTTCTATTTATAGACACGCGCGCTGCTGACATGTAACCAAACCATGAAAAGAAAACTGAAGATATTTGTTTGTAAAATATCTCGAAAAGTGTAGGCTTCAAAAACACTGTAGAGATTTTATTTTTTTCTTGTAATAATTTCTTCAAAAAGAGTTCCAATTTGGGTAGCGTCACGTTGCTTATTGTTACAGTTCGTGGACAAATCAATTCAAGGTTTTAATTTACCTACTAAATCAATATAAATAAACACCCACGAAAATTAATAATTTTGCGGTAAGTATAATTCTATGACATATTACAGATCAGAACATGTGTATGAAAATGTATGTGAATTAATCTCAGTAATACGGGGGTACATTTATAACATGTACAATATTATTTTTTATATTAAATATTTTTTAATATTGTATCTCGAGCGCTCGCAATATTTAATATGAAATATAATATTTTGCCTGAATGTACACACCGTACCACTGTCATTACGACTTCAATAAGAAACTATTAATTATCTGATCATATATTTACATAGTTGTTGTATATTTCTGATAAACAAGTATTCATCATCACTTCCAATAAGATATATGTACAGCGAAAATGTAATTATATTTTTGTACGAAGTCATCGTTTCAGCTGTTACAATGTGTCTCTCTATGAATTGTTTCTATGGTGACACCGCGTGCACTATTTAAGTGGATGCATAATTCCGCTGTGACAGCGTAAAATGACTAAGAAAAGCAAGTCACACGTAAGTTGTGAACATCCATGTGTCTGATGCACATTGATGTCACTTTATTGAGACCGTTTAACTGGATTTCTTTTTATTAATCAATTTTATCATTTTCGAACACATTTCATTTAATACTGTATCAAATAAAAATTCAAAAACTAAGTCATGTTAACACACATTGTCCTTATCCATAGGCAACATGTACTTGGTGTTCGTACGTTGTCGACGGCACTCCAGCCAAGTACTTTCCAGGTTTACTCGAGGGCATATGTTTAGTTATGCGATCAGATGATAAAATCAGAGGCATTCCAGATGGTTTCATCTGAAATTCCTTATTCAAATATAGAATGTAGATAAAGGATTAAAACTGAAGGCTGGAAACGTATTTGCCTTTTTTCCAGATTTTCCAGACAACCCAAAGGAAAAAAAGAAGATTTAAAGGTGACGTGACTATAACTTCCTATTATGACGTTTGCACTCGGGAAATTCTTACATTGGGGTTACTTAGGACATGTATTGTGTAGCAGATCATATATAAAACAGAAAGTTGAGAGTACCGCTGTCATTTTAGGTTTTTTTCTCTACACAGACGACACGGCATGTTTATTGCTAACCCGATTCACCGTCCCACATATAAACGTTAGTGCGAAAGGACTCTGTTGTTAAACTTGGTCACGTGGTACCGTGTTGCCTCTGGCCAAATATTGCATTGTCAACAGGTCATCTGTATGTGTTGACCAGTGCGGAACACACAAATGTACTTTTTTCCGTAATAAGTAAGTAACAAGCTGGCACAACAGAGATGTGATCGCATCTATAGTGTAACCTGGACATTAGCCGATTCTAAAGCTAAGGGGATTGAAAAACTAAAATGGCGGTAAGTGTTTGTATTTTATGATCTAGCTATTTATTGCATATCATTAAAAAAAAGAGTAGAAAATGCTATATTTGACATCTGCATATAAACAAAAACTACAAACATTTTCAGAATCTACAAAAAATTGGGATTTGTATAACACTTAAATCGGCAATTCATCACTAACATTGTGTCTTTTCTCGAACAATGAGCATCCTTATTTGTTTGTAAAATGAACAGATGTGTACTTTGTTTCATGATATAACATACAAACTGATATGAGATCATGATATATGTTATATTTCGTTTGATGCCACAGAGTTCTGCATTACTTATAACTAAGGAGAAGTCAATATTTAAGTATCTGACTCCAGAACGTTATTTTGGATGGAATACAGTATTTGACTTCTCTGGTTCTCTGTAGATATTAAATGAGCTGTTCAGTTTAACTGGTTATGTGTATTTTATTACAAATGCAACAACTAAACATTACGACAACACCATAGGAAACACCTCCTTCAATAAGTCACAGTTTTCAGTTCCATCTATGATCACACAATGTGTTCACTCATTATAAACATATCTTCCGATACTAGTACAGACTTTACGTTTCACAATTTATTTACGTAATATGTTACCTGTTGTTTTCATAACTTGAACTTTATATATCAAACTTTTACTTACATTACCTTTATTTACCTTGACACTGATACTGATTACGGAAATAAAGGAATATGTTGTATAAAAAAGGAGTGGAGCACTAATAAATCGAATATATAATCCAATATTTATAATATATCTGTAGCCAGATCTAAGATAAATGTTTTATACAAACAGTGATTCGATTATTTTATTAAAACTATCATTTTCAGTTCAAATTACAGGATTTACGATATATTACACAATGATTCAAATGTAGGTGTACATCAAAATCGTTATACATGAACAACACGTGCGACCTAAATAACATGTATAAACGATTCAAAATTGTTGTTCATTTCAGACATTCCTGAAAAAAGTGGCAATCTTATTTGCTTCCCTCCACGTGATTTCCATGGTAACGTCAACTGAGGTATGTAACCAAGGCGTTAACTGCCATCTTCCGGATTGCTTCTGTGGTGGGAGCGGTGATCCGGGAAAGTTTTCCAAACCCTCGGATATCCCTCAGATGGTCCTGTTTTCTTTTGACGACGCTGTAACTGATGACATAAGGGACATGTATGATAAATTATTTGCCCCCAACAGGCTTAACCCGCATGGCTGTCCAATCAGCATGACCATGTTTGTATCTCATAATTTCACCAACTACGATAACGTGCGCGCCCTCTATCGACGGGGAATGGAAGTGGCGGTACACAGCGTCACACATAGAGTGCCTATAACTTACTGGAAACTAGCTACGTATGATGCGCTTACTTTTGAAATTCTCCAACAGAGGAAATATTTGTCGGAGAATGCGGGTATACCCCTTACACATATCAAGGGCTGGCGGAGTCCATTCTTGCAGCCTTCTGGGGACCAGCAGTTCTCCATTTTGAAAGAAGAGAATTTTGAGTACGATTCAACGTTTACATTGTCAACTAAAGACGGAAACAGCAGTAGAATCTGGCCTAATACACTTGACTTTGGCTGGAATTCTGAATGTAACATCCCCCCGTGTCCTCGCGGGAAGTATCCAGGATTCTGGGAAATCCCTGTACAGATGCTGGAAAACCCTTCTGGTACATCCGGGTGTCTATACACAGACTCCTGTCGACCAGCAACAGTTGACGAAACTTTCCAGCTCTTTTGGGCAAATTTCCATAGTCACTACACGACTTCTCGTTCTCCTCTCTTCTTCACAATGCACCCTGCATGGCTGGTAGATGAGAAGAACTTCCAGGCACTGGACTACTTTCTGTTAACGTTACTTCACTATTATGACGATGTGTATTTTATCAACTACCAGCAATTACTACGCTGGATCAAAAATCCTCAGAAACTTCAGAACATTTCTGACTTCTCGCCGTGGGATTGTAAGTGGGTTGACGACGATACGTGGTGGCCAGCGACAGCAGACCATAATGGAATTAATGGCGGGAATGTGACTAATCCTGGGATATTTATAATAATTTTGATAGCTTCTTATGCAGTTTTGTTTAACACATTCCGTAAACACATTTTGGATGATCGTACGATTATATGAAGATGTCAGTGTGTATCTTTAACCTCTTGATTTTACATCGTTAAGTAATTCGAAATATTTAAGTTATCATATGACTGACAAATGAAAAATAACTCGTAATGTATTCGTAAATTATCTTTTATTCTAATTTTAAGTGTTTAATTTAATGCGGTTGGCAGCCGACGGATTTGATAGAAAAAAATCAGCAGTAATCTTCTGCTATATTCAAATAGATGACTATACGGTTTGTCACACGGCATACGGTATAGTTATATAGTTAGATTAGTGTCATCATTGTGGGAAGTACTGTGTGGCCAAACTATGGGCTTACATTAAACGGCCAGTTAAACTTTCACTCAAACAGATACATTGATTGGTTTCCTAGTCTTAACAAATAACAAAAAACAAAAACTAAACCATGATATAATGATTTACGTTCCTGCTATCGATTTATTGATTTTAACCATGTCGATGTTTGATAACTTAAAGTGCGCGTGGATAATTCATAGCCTTTCGTTGTGTTGACCTCATTATTATCATGTAGGTTAATTTAATTTGTTTAAAAAAACTTGCCGTAAATCATGAAAGATATGTACACAGGCGATGCAGTAAAACGTGTTTATTTTGCAATTTTAACTTAAAGAAAGAAAAGTAAAGCCATCATTTGTATGTCAGGACGTGAGGCAAAGTATTTTTAATGTTTCGATAATCACATTTTTATTATATATAAGATAAAATTCATGATTGGGAAAGTACAAAAAGATGCATGTGTATTACGTAGCGTTACCTGTGGGTCTTGTTTTCTTTATTTTGTATTTGGAAATGTCTTATGATGTAATAGAAACCTTTGATTTGTATTTTGTAATGAGTATCAAACGCAATATATCGTTGTGTTACTTGATGAAGAATTATGAGTTAACATATACATATTTATGTATGAAATTATTACTTAAGTGCTATAAAACATTATTGGATGTTTAATATACTGGTATTATTTGTCTTTTGATCGCGTTCATGAATATTAGTCTTGTTCAGTGAAGAATCTTCGCAATGAAAGCATTGAAATACTTCACTGATGGAATATCTAATTTGTTTTTCCATTCACCTTCCTTTCATTCGATTTATCTTTATTCTTATTTATCTGTAGACACGGGAACCCCATCCAACGGACTGTTTCGTTTTTTTTTTTTTTTTTTGTTTATTATCATTTTCATGTTGACACGCAAAATACACTTAGTGTTGCTAATTTAACCTTTTAAATATCTAGTGAATGTCTTCCCGAATCAGGGATTGTTTAAATACATTTCAAAATCAATCAAATATCTTTCGATTTTTACATTTTTCATGACTTGAGCAGGTACCGATAGCTAATACCAGTGTGAGCTGTTGAGTTATTGTCCCGACAGCTTGTAAATCTAGATTTGTCATGATGTCACGTGGTACATTGATCTTTATCGATATATATAACATATGCGACCCCCTAGGCTCAAATACCTGGATGTAAGATTTCCCCGATATGCGATATTTGTTAATAAAACGACGATAAATATTTGTAAATATTTGAAATGATGTTGTAACGTTGTTATTGGGCGGTTAAACGCCAAACGCTTTACACGCGCGAGTTAATGATGTTATCGCTGATGGGAAAACAAAATAAAGATAAAAATTTTTAAAACATCTAGAATCAATATGTCCGATGATTGATGTATGCCACGGGCAAGACTAGTGCTTTCCATTCTATAGTTTTCCATGTAAGATATGGTCTATGTAATATACAGTGGATGTGTTTTGTTTCTATTTTGATATTGTTTGTATTTCACGAAAAAGACTGTATAATGACGTCACCAGATCACTGACGTCAGTCGGCGAAACGAAACCGGACACAGGAGTCTCGGAGAGGAAAAACCTGTCAACCAGCCAACAAAAAAAACAATAATTGTTTAACTATTGTTGAACGGGGGCGAAGGAACAAGTCTACAATTAATACTTTTTCTTATAGAAGGTTACAAATTATATTCATGCAACACTAGCTTTTGCTTTGATATTAAAATGTCCGATGTCTTCCGATGTTACTGGTCCAATACCATCAGGTTATAGACCTTTTGTTTGTTAAGTTCAGTTTATTCAAGAGATGTACAAATTTGACTTGTCTTTGAATTCCCAATCTGCTACTAACAGTATTCAACATTGTACAAGCCATAATACATTTAACGCTGGCCCTTTCTTTACTAGAAATAATTTGGAGGGTTAAATCAGGTCAGATCCTTGTGACATTGGAAGAGAATACTATTTTAAGGTCCCTCAGTTAAGATGGAAATCCTTCATGCATTCCAACTACTGGCCAAATGTATTTTTTCTCGGGGTTTCTTATTGACAATGGAGAATAATCCTTTAAAAGATGTTGATGCTGGACAAGACGCAACAGGGGCCTCTTTTTTGTGTCAGAGCGACTCCCCCCGCCAACGACAAATGAGATTTGTATTCACAACTCATGCAATGAAATTGACGTCCTGCCTGCTAAATATTGTAGTAAAAAATCTGACCCTGCCTTACAAGGACCGGAACCCACTGTTTATACACAACCTACTCCCCATTACTTCAGACCAAATTTGGGCAAAATTCCAACACACCTACCGTTGGAGTGGGATTTTATAGAGCCGGCCAAGACCCACCGTTTACCAAAAACTGATTCCTCTTCACCAACGAATGTTTCAGGCTAATATTTGGAAAATTCCATTAATTACAACTGGAGTAGAAGATTTTACTCTATTACCCATATTGGGCCCCGCCTCTCCTGCCTTTGAGGGGAGAAATCTAACGTTTATACAAAATCGATTTCTCCTTATCCAACAATACTTCTGACCAAATTTGGGCAATATCAATTCATTCCTACAGGAGAAGTAAATTTCAAAGAATTTACTTTATTTGCCCTATCAGGCTTAGCCCCTCCTGCGCCAGGAGCCCCAAAACCTTACATCTGTACGATATTGACTTGCATTTACCTGAGAATGCTTCAGACTGCATTTTGGCAATCCCCATTCATGCCTACAGGAGTAGGATTTTAAAGAATTTAATCTATTTCCCGTATGCTACCCCATCTCCACCTCCGTTCCCCAGGAGGCCGAGGCCTAACGTTTACAAGACTGATTCCCCTCCATCAATGAATCTTCAGACCACATTTGAGCAATATCCATTAAATCCTACAGGAAGACTAGGATTTTAAATAATTTACTGTATTTGCGCTATTGGGCTCCACTCCAGAGGTCAAGACCTTACGACTTTACAAGATTGATTCTCCCTTTCATCTAAGAATGCATCAGACCAATCCTTTAGACAAGATCCATGCATTCCTGGAGGAGTAGCATTTTAAAGAACCAGAAAAATTTCCACTTTTGGGCCTGGCCCTCCGACCCATGAAAACAAATATTTATTTCAACTTGTTAAACCTTCCCCAAAGGATGCTTCTGACCATATCGGGTTAAAATTGTTTTGGTAGTTCAGGACTAGTAGGGATTTTCAGTGAATTGTAGATTGGCGCCGAATGACGCACCATGGCATGGTCCTTCAGACCAGGTGAGCTGAAAATGCCGTAACCACATCAGAACGTGTCCTGCATATTATTAATACACAGCTAGATATTTCATATTTCTGTATCTGTATCCCTGAATAAATGAACAGAAATAATACCAGAATGACACACAAGGGAAGCAACCCTGTATGAATGACACACAAGGGAAGCAACCCTGTTTGACTCTGACCATAAAATGATGAGGGATCCTAAATAAAGGACAACAATGTTATGCACCATGTAATATTTTTTATTAGACGAAACCACAAAAATAGATAAAATATACACCACTTATAATAACGAACATACATTCTATAATACTATACATGTATATATTCTACCAACATAAGGAAAGGTGTTAAGGAGAAATTGGAACACCAGGTGTGCATATGTGCACTGACTAGATGGTAGAGATTGACTAGAAGTATCTGTGACACTGAACCACTGAAACACATGAAGAGGCAAATTATCAGGATCATTATCTCAAGAAAAATTAAAAACAAAATGTTTTTTGTAATGTACATGTAAACAGAAAGTAATGTTAAGGACTACGCAATAACAGATCCAAACATTGAGTTTAACATATCAAATGAAATGGATTAATACAAGCTACAAGTTTTTTCTTGACGCTGACAAGTAAAAATTATCATTTCAGAAAGATTTAGATTTCAGCTCAAGGAGACTTCCACAGGCTTTACAATATTTAGCAATCATCATATTGCTATGAAAAGCCTCTATGTAAAATGAAGTTTCTATGTTCAAGCTCTTAACTCGTGACAGAGACTATACAACACAATGTTATAAACATCTCTGACTGGGACAAGATAAGGTCATCCCTTGTCACACTAAAATTTATCTAAATAGGTAGAATCAACTGCAATAAGGTCAAAGGTCAACATTAAGTCTGATATAAGACTTTGTTGTCCATCAGGGTCTTGAAGACCAATGAAGCAAAACTACTCCACAATGAAATCTAATAGTAAACTTACTACTGACACTTAAACGTGCTGTAATTAATTCTACCAGTTTATATATTAATCATTTCATTCCACTAAACAACCAACCTTTAAACTCTATTTTCCTGTCTAAACGAAAATTCATTCTTGCATTCAACTATACATGGTTATGTTAGCCTATTTTCTTTACAAATATTTCTAAATGCTGACCTAATAACAAGATAATATTTATTACAGCACTATTATAAACAGTGATAAAGATCACTCCTCAATTAGGCTCCTCATAGAACATGTAGAACTTGTATAAATCAAATTGAACAAAATGATGTGGTGATTTGTTTCTGTATGCTTCACAGAAAAAGTCAACAGATATACTGAGTATATAATCCTGAACAAAATTCATGGTCAGTCTTATCACAACATCAAAAAGGGTTGTGGTCCTATACAGTAGACCTTGGCCCTGAAGTATTGTACACATGTTAAATATAGGACTGTGTACTGAAAATCCCACTGACTTTTAGAGAGTGGATATTCAAAATCCAAATTCCAAAGAAAATACAAATTGTTCACAGCCTTGGATAGCCATTGTCAATATAAAATTGACAGTCTAAATCTCACAATAAGTTGAATAGTTAAGGTTAGAAAGAATGAAACACCACAATGCAGTCTGTTCACAATACTTAGGATAATTGTTCTTGGATAGACAGTCCCAATTCACACAGTGACAGGAGCAATGAAAGGATTCTACAACTTGGAAATGATTTAATGCAAGGAAAAGTAATGACCAGTAAATCTTAAACTGGTTGCATTCTATTACAAAATTTCTCACATAATATCATCAGATTTGAAATCATAGCTATAGAAAATACTCAAATATTGCTTTTAATATTATATCAAACCACAAGGCATGACCAAACTTTACAGACACATAATAAATCTACATAATGTTGCCTTGTGTTTCAGTAAGTAGGCTTTTAAGATGCCCAGAGTCCCCTAAGGTGAAGAAATATTAGTCATACATAGCTGGTAACAGATGATATTAAACATTATCAACTCACAAAACTTTACGTCATTATACACATGCATCTATATCATTAAATAATTTCAAAATGAAGAATAATGTTTAAGAAATATAAAAAGATTTGTTTTAAAATTGTTATGTACATAAAAAAGTGATATGTACTTTATTCAAAGAATTTCTTCGTTGTAAGAAACATCCTGTCCATTTTTCCTTACCTACAGCACTTTTTGCTATTAAACATCCAAGAATAGTTGCCCTCTCATTGATAATCTGTACTTACAGACAAATTGATAAGATATGTAATGAAAAATTACATCATTTTTGATAAAACACATTCTGTGGACTCTAAGATAAAATATAAAAATCTGTTTGAAAAAAGAGTTACCTCCCTTCCCACTCTACAGATTGCGGGAATAGAACCTGCATAGCAGAAATTTAAGTACTTCTGAAGTTTTAAGAATAAATTTTCTAATTTTGAAGTTTAGATAAAATACACTTGTTAATTAAGCAGTAAATAAAACATTTTGTTTATTGTTATCAAAACAGAAGAAGAAAATTAAAATATGAAAATGGGCAGAGTTTCAGGTTTGTGGAACTGTGGTTTTGGGAGAAATTGGTAATGGATAAATTAAATTTTCATGCAAATGCTATGTTTTGTGTCATGACTTTATACATATTAAATGAATGGAAACTGAGTAAACACACTGCTCTTGAAGTGTTTTGTATTCCTGTTTGTGAAATAATATTACATATATGTACATCTGCATTGTGTCATATGAGTACAGCGATAGTGACCTATGATATATAGTGATGGTGAATTACACACACACATATATATATATATAAGAGAGATTAATGATCATCACGATTCTAGAATAATCAAAATCGAAAAAAAAAAGAAACATTTATAAACAATTTAACATATAAATGGAAGTGAATATATGTATATTGCACATAACAAGACAACACTATGTCCTATAAAACATAGATATACAAATTGTTGGTGATATTATATTGCAGAATCCTTGTTATTTGTATGGAATCTGGGATGGACATATAGAAGGCACTCAGTCACAATCAACAATGACAAAATTTCAACATTCAAAATTGCTTATTAGTCTAGATTGTTATACGTCCACATCAAAATACTTGATAATATTTTTTCCCCCATTCAGATGAGTCACCCATATCAATCAAAACAAAACAGATCTGGCGATTTATAGTCATCCATTGCTACACCCCTCTTGGTGAACCCTTACCCCAGGAAGACAAACCATCTTTTTTTTTAAAGGTGTAAATGAAGGTCAGAGAAACCTACAACTGATACATACTGCCTCACCAAGGTGAACCCTTACCCCAGGAAGACAAACCATCTTTTTTTTTAAAGGTGTAAATGAAGGTCAGAGAGACCTACAACTGATACATACTGCCTCACCAAGGTGAACCCTTACCCCAGGAAGACAAACCATCTTTTTTTTTAAAGGTGTAAATGAAGGTCAGAGAAACCTACAACTGATACATACTGCCTCACCAAGGTGAACCCTTACCCCATGAAGTTCCAGTGACACAAGGCAAAGCTAGAGTACCCCATACCCCTCCTCCCCGGTTCTTGGTGGGGTCTACTATCCAACATCATCTGATAAGTATATAGTTGTACATTAATGTCAGCACTGTAAATTGTCAACATTTTGAAACATTAACTATGCAATTTACCAAAAATGTTCAGAATTTGAACAAATCAATTTTTGGTATTGCACTTTGTCAACATTTGAAGTAAACAATGTACTTTGTCAACATTTTGAACCTTTCAACACTCAATAGTCAAACATATTCCTTCAATCTTTAAAAAGTTTTTGATTTTACAACCAATAAATATTTCATAAGAAATATCAATGCACTCAAAATCGTATCCCTAGAGACAAGCACGAGTCAGAACTGCTACACAGGTTACAAATCTCACCATGGTGATATCAACAGAGATATATTCAATATCACCAATCATCTCCAAAACCTGACACTTTCCATCACTATCAGAAAATCTCATCTCTACCACATGGAATACCATGCAAGATTTTAATTTGCCATATAGAAATTTCCCCATATGATATCAAAACCATGATAATGTATACACTGACATTTTAGTGGTCTTTTTATCTAGCATGTTTTATACTTAAAGTATAGGGCTAGAACATGATTGTGCTGATTGCTATTTTTGCAAGTTATTACAGTGGACATGAGAATTCAATGTTATCTTACATGCCAAAACATGATAAAAAGCTATAACTTTCAAAAAGTAAGCATGTTTTACAATTACAGTGCCTTATGTTGGCCTGTTTGCTATGTCTTACGGTATGTTTACAGTACCTAATGTTAACCATGTCTTACATTTACAGTAATTGTTTTAGCCAGGTCTTATTTTCTCCAATAACGAGGTGGAATTGAAATAACTTTTTCTCAACAAATTCAGCCAGATGATCAGCAAGCAATTAAAGGGCATAAATGGCAAAAAGTTTACAGGGAAAAATAGCATGTTACACAGTAAGTTACGGCCAAATATGTAACTCACACTAAGCCATTTGAAATTTATCAGAAATAGTAAACTGATCAATCAAATCTGTTGATACATGTCTTTGAATTTCAGAAAAAAGCCTATATCTAAATCAATGATATGCTTGCACTCTTTCCTCACAGTTACTAAACTATGATAGTCAACACATATCATTTGCAATCAGGCTACGGAATCAAGAGTAGAGCCTTTGAATTTTGTGATATAAACAAAACATTTTCAGTTGAGTGGGAACAAAATATATGACAATCAAGAATGAAGAACAAAAATATATGGTGGCTATCTGCCATCAAATCACAATCAATGTACATGAGTCAATCATACCAGATTTAACTGCTTCCTTGTGTCGCACACAAATAATATCAGTATTAAAAAAATCATGAACGGGAGTAAAATAGGTAAAAAAATGTATGAAATATACATGATAAAACAAGTAAAATATACAGAGAATTAAGTGGTGTTGAAAATACAGAATTCATGTTCAAGGAAATGAAAAGTTTTCACTCACACTATGTATTAATATTGTATTAGACGACAAATTTATCGTCTCAGTTGATACGATACTGTACAGTAAATATTCGTGGCATTCTACTCCATTCATACATGGAAGTTGCTACAGCTGAGAAAACAAAAAAGGATTTTGAATTAATTTGATCATACCCACTTAATACAGCGTATGATATTTGATACTTCCCTGTCTCTTGTTATTCAAACAAAACAGACTCATGGCTATAGAAAAACATAGCAATACATTATTTAACTGTATCTATCAGAGTGGAATATGACATCTAGTAATCTGAAGTGCAGCTAATCAACTAGTCTGCAATCCTGCTTAGTATATAGGGGAATATTGTTGTAACATCAGAAATACTGTTGAGTTCTACTGAAATGTCTAGTATGTGCATTATTTGATAAAAACTTTTTTTATGAATTCAATGCCATATTTCTTGCCAATTTTAACTATAAAATAAAAAAAAGAATTGAATAATAGCTTTTTTAATTGTAAAAACAAAATTGAGAATCACTAGTAAAATACAGATCCAAGTACAAGAAAATCTCCCTCTCATATCTTAAGATCTTAATTAAATATTTGTGTCTTGAAACTTTTAAATGATGAAAAGAAACCCTGCACAGTAAATTAATCAGTCTGTAAATCTGAAGATGAACTTCCTATCGAGCCTTGGTCCTCATAGTCACAGGGCAAAACTACCATATCTTAAGCTGTAAGCCAGTTATTCAAATTGCTTAATTTTGTATGAAGGTTTATCCCAATAAACTTTAAATGTTATACATGTGATACCATATACAACAGAAGAAAATAGATGTTATCACACTGGCGAGATGTAAAGTTTCCATCAGGCAGCAGCATATTAGTATTAAATTATTATTGATAATTATTGATATCCAACAGACAGAATTGTTAAAGAATCATTACAACATATTGGTTCATATTACATTTCAAATGTAATTGGCCTGGTGGAGTATGTTCCCCCTTGGTACATGTATCTAGAGATTGATAATGTTATGGTTTCATATGGCATACATATTTTGTATGAGTTACAAAACAAAGTACATATATATGACCCCTGACATTAAAGGGGTTACCAAGAACATCTATAAGACCTCTGGATATTACAGGGGTCACCTAGAACATCTATAAGACCTCTGGACATAACAGGGGTCAGTGATAACATCTATAAGACCTCCTGACATTACAGGGGTCACCTCGAATAACTATAAGACTTCCCAATCATATGGAGGTCATCAAGATCACCTTTGAGGTCATCAGGTACACAAATATGACCTGTTGAATGACCTTATTGAGGTCACCAAGTATACCTACATGATCATGAAACATACATTATGCAGAGGTCATCAACACCCAGTGAATACCACAGGATATTTGAAAACCTCTACTAAACAACAAAACACTATCGTGACTTCGTTTAAGGAACTTTAACTAAATGAGAATGAAGAATTGTCACAAAAGATTTAAGACTCTAAGTGACATATACTAATCATATTTGATTGATGACTTTGAGTGATGACCTTGACTTATGTCCTTGTTTTCTGACCTTGAGTGAAGACCTTGATAGATGACCTTAATACATGACCTTTATGATAACCTAGATTGATGACCTAGTGTCAAGTCCTTGTGTGACCTTAATTTATGGCCTGGAGTATATATACAATTAATGATTTTTGGGACTTATGAGTATAATTTTTTGCATTAGTAATTTTTGTGAGTATTCTAATTCCTCTTCTTCTGTCGAGTAGGTGTTTGGCCTGTTCTCTGCCACACATCAGATTGTGAAACACTCCGTACAAGTACCATGAAGATGAATATTGGAAATAAAAAGGGCAGGAAAAAAATAGATTTTGGATCATCTGAAAAGGAAAGTAATCAATATCATAAAACATCCATGTACACGGAGACAAAATAAGCATATACATTTATAAAAAATATGCAGGTGATAAAAAATTTGTCTTTGGAAGGAATATTTATGAAACAATAATATAAGAAGATGTAAGTTTATAAAAACATATTTTCATAGCCTGGGGCTGGGTGGTACCAATGTGTTTATATATGTTACTTTCACTGAATAAACATAGCGTAAAAATAACATAAATGTTATAAAGATAGTAAGCAGCACAGTACACAGGATATCTTTCCATAAACTCAAGACATTTTGTTTAAAGGCACCCAGAAATGAGGCACGCATATTCAAGGTGAGGAACCTTGAACGTTGCAAATTTGTTAAGTATTAACAATATAATTAATATAAAAGACATAAAATTATGTGGTACTTACTGAGATTAACAGCACCTAGGGCAGGGAGATTTTGTAAATAGTTTGGTGGATCAACCTCTTCCCTGTCAACAAGTTGTGTCTCTGTTGCCACAGTAACAGGAATTATCTCCCCTTTGTCTACCTCTTCATTATGTGATGTGTTTTTGGAAGAAATATCCAAGGGGGTATCACAGGTGCTTTGTTTGAGTTTATCCTTTGCCTTACATAACAATTCACGTGTGGGACTTTCTTTCTTTTTCGCCTTGAACAAATGAGCATATTTCCTACGTTCTGCTTCTTGCATAGCATGTATACGAATCTGTGACATTCTTTCCTCCATTTTTTCTAATCGTCTATTTTGTTCATTTTGTAACTTTGTTAGTGCTGGATGGTCGTCCACATTGAGCCGTTCGTAGCTATACGAGTCCTTCATGAGATTCAAGTCTTTTGTGACATTATTGTTTCTATTCAAAGACATGGTTTTCTGTTTGAAGTCTGACCCCAACAAAGAGTCACGAGAGTGATACCCACTGCTGAGAGAAAGACGTTCTAAGTCTGCTGACAGGCGATTAAACTTGATTTGATGAAGAGAATCCGCATCTCCTGAGATAATACCCTGTGAACTGTAGTTTACATCACCCACTTTCTTAGTTTTTTTCTTTTTGGACTGAACATGTCCCATTCTTAGGTCTGAAAATCAAAATAAATCAATTAACAATTTAATATATACTGATTGCTTTACATCTGATGTGCAATAACCAACAGTAAAGTTTGTATTATTTCCAAGTTATTTAAATTTAGATAATCTTTAATAAAGCCTCATGATGTACATGAACCCTAAATCCTCTCCTTGCTTGTAGATATAAAAGTCTATTCATCGATTTGAATGTAAATAAAATGCATCAATATATATTCTATCGCACTTCCATTTGACACTTGATGGACAATTATCAACAGCACTTCATGACATATTGTTTAACTTGTGCAGCGTATTAACGAACATGTAAATGTATGTACAGCTAGATCTCAATTAAAAAAAAAATCTGAGTGATGCTTTAAACACACAATGTTTGCCAGTGACTATAATAAGAATCATTAATTAACAATACTACAGCTAGAGTGTATGTAACGGCAACATCTATTGTACTGACTACGCAAGTGAGTTCATTCATCAGACGTACAGGAAATGTCTACTTTGGAAAGCACTATGTGGCGCCTGATAAAATTTAGGGAAATGTAGCACTTTAGTGACGCCTGCTCTCAAGTATGCATTGTACTCCAAGGGCCAGCATTTATATAAAAACTTCATTATCGAAGCAACTGCTTTATATTTTCAATTTTTAAAGATATTTTAAGATATATATTTAACAATTGAGAAATGAAGGGAGGTAACTCTTACAAGCCTACAATGTAGATAACCTAAAATAAATTTAAAGTACCCTTAACTTATTTTCAAAAAAAAAATAAATAAATAAATAAATGAAATACACACGTGATGTCATACTGAGCTATTCTTGGGCCACTTTTCAACCTATTTATCAACTATAATGGTTTGAAACAATGTTGACAAATTGACTTGAATGACAGAAAAAAATATTGTATTGGTGTTAAGTTGAAATATTTACACGTTAATTAATATTCACAATAAAATCTATATATAAGCTATATTTATATTCCAAAAAGTATGAAACAAGCTATCAGCTTACATTAATCACTCTTGCTGGCCTGGATGAAAGTGCGAGGGGTGAAGGTGTCTTACTCTGGGAGGAAACCAGAATACCCATCGAAAACCCATGTGGTCAAACAAGTGTCCCCATACTTATTCACATCCATTCTGGGAATCAAATGTGCCATCAGACCAACCATACCACTTGACCATCCAAAATGGCTTATGTGTATATAATATACATAAAGATAGAGACAAAGCCAACAGTGTTTCTGACTGCTATATACTCTGTATAGTTAGTGTTTATTCCAATGATATTCTACAATGGCCACATCAATCTAATTATATGTTTCCAAAGAGATCTTAATTGGCACCTTATCATTGTTACAATTAATGAATGCTATTTGTTTCATCAGTGAGATTTTTTACTTTCTTTTTTTTCCCCTCTCCCCCAAGGGACTAAGAGATATCTGCATGTGAAATTGACCAACGATCCATCTATAATTTTGAGAAAGACACATCCATTCTCTCTCAAGAAATACATTACCAAACTTTCATTGTCAACATTCAAGATGGCCACTTGTCAGCCATTTTTTTATCAGATTCTAAATTCATAGAGCACAACAAGGAAAGATCATCAAGGGAAACCTATATAAGAAATGAGAGCATCATCCGGTCTCCTTCAAGAAACAGTGATAACAAGAATTCTTTATTAGGGACTCACAACACATACAAAAGAATTCAAACAGCCTCCACACCTCCCCACTCCTAAATTCCATCAGATATTAGAGGGCTAAATTTAATCTTACATGTATCATGTTACATAAATCATTTACAAACAGTTGTCAATACATTATTGTATAGTAAACATGTATATAGTATATAGAAAACTCATTATGTACTTACTCCTAGGTTTTACTTCTAAGTGCTGTGGAAGTTTGACACGTACAGCTCTTCAGTCTATCCATCTGTAAAACAGCACACAGATTTGTTAACATCAGATTAATCTCAACTCACAGACACATACAAAACATCAGTTAATCTTATCTTACAGTCACATACAAAACATCAGTTAATCTTATCTTACAGCCACATACAAACATCAGTTAATCTTATCTTACAGCCACATACAAACATCAGTTAATCTTATCTTACAGTCACATACAAAACATTAATCTTATCAGTTACAAACATCAGTTAATCTTATCTGACAGTCACATACAAACATCAGTTACTCTTATCTTACAGCCACATACAAACATCAGTTAATCTTATCTTACAGTCACATACAAACATCAGTTAATCTTATCTTACAGCCACATCAGTTAATCTTATCTTACAGCCACATACAAACATCAGTTAATCTTATCTTACAGCCACATACAAAACATCAGTTAATCTTATCTGACAGTCACATACAAACATCAGTTAATCTTATCTTACAGTCACATACAAACATCAGTTAATCTTATCTTACAGCCACATACAAACATCAGTTAATCTTATCTTACAGTCACATACAAACATCAGTTAATCTTATCTTACAGCCACATACAAACATCAGTTAATCTTATCTTACAGCCACATACAAACATCAGTTAATCTTATCTTACAGCCACATACAAACATCAGTTAATCTTATCTTAAAGTCACATACAAACAGTTAATCTTATCTTACAGCCACATACAAACATCAGTTAATCTTATCTTACAGTCACATACAAACATCAGTTAATCTTATCTTACAGCCACATTATCAGTTAATCTTATCTTACAGCCACATACAAACATCAGTTAATCTTATCTTAAAGTCACATACAAACAGTTAATCTTATCTTACAGCCACATACAAACACAGCTAATCACAGTCACATACAAACATCAGTTAAATACAGCCACATACAAACATATCTTACAGCCACATACAAACATCAGCTAATCTTATCTTACAGTCACATACAAACATCAGCTAATCTTATCTTACAGTCACATACAAACATCAGCTAATCTAATCTTACAGTCACATACAAACATCAGTCCAAAGGCATATTAGATTTTTCCATTTGGAAAGGGTATTAAAACAAAATAATCTAATTATGTGCCTGCATCATGTACTTATTTTTTTGGTAAGTTACAGGGTTCCCAAAACTTTCATGCTACCTAACTTAAGTTTTTGGATGCCAAGGTGTAAGTAAACATGTAAATAGATTATATATGACATCCTAAAATTTGATAATAACCAGCATCAGTTGAAAGCATAATCCTGTTATACTGTACATTGTACAGTACGGCATCATTTAAGTCTTATATATAAACCTTAATAATCTTATATTCTTGTATTTTGGTTGCAGAAATATACTATCAAAAATGGATCAGGATTTGAGAGAACTTTTTCTTCCTGCACACATTCTAACAAATCCAAGACTGCAGTACAATGTTAATTCTATCAGTCTTTTTAATGTACAATCCATCAGAAGTAAATACACTGATATTATATTACGATATGCATAATGATATTCAATATTCTAGATAAAAATATAATAAATAAATAAGTTACAGTCAAATCTTAAAGTGATGTAATATTAATGGATATTGCCTTTCATATTAATTAAAATAATCAGAAACGAATTCATTAATCAATGCTGATTAATATCTATTTAATTATTGTAAGCTCATTTCTAACATCAGATGATTTCTACTTTCACTTTTGGTTTGATTTGCTGAAACTTTTAACTAGTTACTTTGTATTGATGTGAAAGAAAACATTGAGTATCATGAACATCTCGCAAAACAAATAAAATACAACACTGGTGTGAATATTGGGTGGTCGGGTGGCGCAGTAGTAACACACTCGTCTTTCACATCGGGTTTGATTCCCGGAATGGATGTGTAAAGTGTATGGGGTCATCTGCCCGACCATGTGGATTTTCCCCCGGATACTCCAGTTTCCTTCCACACTAAAACCCCTTGGGTTTCCATCCGAGCCAACAAAAGTGATTAAAATCAATTGGAAAAACCTTGCTTTGCAATTGTTGTAAAATAAATAAAGTTGATTATTATATTGAACCTAAATCAGAAACCATGCTCTTGCTGTTAATACAAAAACATTTCACATGTGATGTTTTAGGGTTTTTTTGACTGCTTATTTAAATTCGTAAAATTAGAGATAAATATTACTTTGACTTATTTGCTTGTAATTAATTAATTGTGATCTTGTAATTATGGTCTCTAATTGCCTAACACTGTCAATAAATTGTGATCTTGTAATTATGGTCTCTAATTGCCTAACACTGTCAATACCAGACACTTTTGTGTTGTCCAATATAGTATAATTGAAAACGTATCTTGTGAAAGGGTTGGCTAAACTGAAATTAGTAAAAAAAGAACAACAATTTCTCTATAAAGAAATATCATAGATGTGGCATTTAATATAGCATTGCTCCTTTCACATTCAATTGTTGCAGGGATTTTAAATATAGAAGACAATGTTTACAGAGTTCAGTTGAGTATACAATGTAGTAATATCTTTCAAACCATGTTGACATGAGTCACCATTTGGGATGGGATCCAAATAAACTATGAACTAAAGGAGGAATCTTATAAAAGCATTAATTGGTCTACCTCTCTCCAACCTGTCAGTGACATCATCCCTAATGGCTCATACCCAAGTCTCAAGCTGGCTAACACATGAAAGAAGGGAGATAATGCATTCAACATTAAATCTATTAATAAATTTCAGTTATAGGATAATGTCTTTCACTAGCTTTTCTTTTTTCTTCTTTTGTGAATATTTTTTTAAAAAAATAATTGCATTAATATATTGATGATGAATATGTATACATCTGAGAGCTTTGACAAAAATCTACTTATTTAATCACATGATGGATATGTTATGTTATTAAGCCATGTGTATATAAAGTGACATGCCATAAGTCTTTCACATTTTTTAAATTTTGGATTTTGACAATATTTGGCTATTTTGTACAATAATATTCAGAGTTTCCTCTTTTCATAATATTCATTTAATTTTCTACTGTTAATTTCAGGAGTAATACAAAATTGTCCACGCTCACTGCTGATTTTAATGTGACGCCATTTTCCTATAAACGCTTACCAAAATGAGATTCTGAAAATCACATGTTGCAAATGAAATATTTCTCTGGTAATGCACAATGGTAAACAATGGAAACAATATAAGATCGAGTAGGAAAGAATTCTCCAAAAGTGTAAAAAATAATCATTAACAATGTTCATGTACAACGCCAGGAAAATGCATTGATATAAAATTAGACACACAAAGAATACATAGAGTAAAATAATAAAACATGAGAGACTGATGGCACATCACTGTATATATAACCAGGGATGTTGTGGTGGTGTAATAGTTACACAGTTTTTCTCGGCTGAGCAATTTGGTGCTGCAGATCACTACTCCTAGGCCCAGTTTGGGTACAAGTCAAAAATTGTCTTCCTTCATTAGTGTAACAATGTCCCAACATATATAACCAGGTACATATATACATAGGTTTACTTTGATGTCTGTTAAAACTTCAAACAAATTGATAGCTCATTGTTAGATTACCATTACAGGTAATGGAATGCATGCTATGATATTATTACTGTCAGTGTAACGTTTTGACTTATTTTAGAAATATTCTGATCACACAGAGGGACTTCATACATCTATCAAATTGCATCTACTCCTACTTCAACAACTTTTGTTACTGAACTTCTTGAAAAGCTACAAACAAATTGAACACATGTTCGCAAGTTCAGATTGTACTGAATTTTCACTTTCATCTTGTATAGCATTTTCACTTTCATCTCATCATGATATCAAAGATGGCAACCAGTGGCCATTTTGAATTCAAATGTTTGATTAACACAAATTTTGTTACCGAATAGTTACAGCTGTATAAGGAACCTATATCTTCAATCGTATTATAATGTCATTGATGAATTTACGTTAAGTGAGACTTTATCACCAATTGTTATTTTAATAAAGTGTTTTTACATAAGTATCTATATCAATTCAGTTATAAATAGAATCTAACAAATGTTTCAATTCCATATGTGATTAAGTTCAAAATCATATCACATATTTACCTCACTGTTACCTGGTTGGGTGAAATGAAAATTTCTTATGACTTGATAACTTGTTTTATAAATTTTTATATTACTTAAGAAATTCAATATAATGTATGATGTAAACTGAATGCTGGCAAAAGAACATAAAGATTACAGTTTGTATGTAAGGTCTCCTGTTTCTCCTATGAGATTTATTGTCTACAACTCAATGTCTTACAGAATCTGAACTCTTATTTATATTGTGCAATATCTGACAATGCACTATAACCTCTGACGAATCTATGTCATTTATAGTATCCATAGTTGTCCATTATAAATGACATTTATTGTCCTGACTGTCTTTGCATACTCCAACCCCCCATGCAATGTATAAATGTGACAACGTTATCACAGAATTGCTTTTAGAAATGAACAACCTGTGAAGCCAAACCACTCTCCATAATTTGTGTCTGACACTATATGTTAAAATGACAATCAACGTTGATGGAATATTGGTCCTAAATACCCGATAACTGCTGGGCATCCACAATCAATTCATTGACAGACTATACAGCACTGACGTCCACTGAATCTAGGATTCAACGTAAATTCTCTTCAGGCTCCTGGTTTTTTCTGTCTGAGATTTATTATTCTTTTGGCTACATGCTGTGCGCCCTTCATGCTGAAATATAACTGCTCATTTATAGATTACTTACTAGAAGAAACATAAATCAGCTATATTTTCTATCCTATATAATGAAAGTGATTGGTTGGTTTTTGTTTGTTTGCTAGGTTTATCTCCCCTTGCATAGCCAGGGTCATTCTGAGTCAGGGTCTTGTAATGTAGCTAAGTTTGTTAATATTAATTTCAATAACCTTACTGAATGACATATGGGAGGCC